ACAAGTATATGGCATTTAATATAAATATTATTATGGAAGAGAAAAATATTATCCTTTGTTAGCCAGCCATCTCATGGTCTCTATTACCTCTCTTTTGCATGGGAAATATTAAAGTGATCTATAAAAACAAAAAGCACAGCCACATTATCCCCAAGGACAGAAGGCCTTCTGATTTAGTTCAACACAACTGCCACAGTTCTGAGACTCCATGCTTCTAAGTAGGTCATCCATGGGAAACATAATTCATCACTATAGAACAAATTATCTAGATTTTCCAGGCTAAAAATTTCTTTGTCTTCTCATCACATCTTTTGAACATCTAGTTCTAAATGACAGCAAATTCCTAATATTCAGGAAGTGAAAATAACATTCTCTGCTTCCAATTACCATCCAACTCTAGCCATATTGACAATTTTTTTTAATAACACTGCCTGCTTCAAAAGAACCTACTCATTGTTATCTGCTTTATTAAAAAGCCTTGGTATCTCTTCCTAAGTTACTGTAATTAGAATACACAGAGAGGAAGAGGGTGACAATGGAATTATATTTTTAACTGGAAAACTTTAGCATTTTGGAAAATAACTGAGCACTGTTCCAAAGGAAAATTTTATTGACCATATGCAGACAGTGTGGGCTGCAGAAGAACTAATGCTGTGGTCTATCCCTCTCCTTCATACCAGATCCACACCTGTGCCCAACTTGTGCCAGAGGACCGAAAATCACAGTGGAGGTTAGGTCTTAGTACATATCTGAGGATGATGTAGAACAGACTATATGAATAGAACAGACTATGTAGGATGGACTCTCTATGGTCAGATGCTTGAACATCCTCGGTCACAGAAGATCACCCAATATATACTGTGTACTAACACAGTATAATTGAAACTGAGCAGTTTAATCTTCAAATATCATTCTAACAAAGACCAGACTGGAGAACAATATGGCTTTAAAAGGACCACAGAAAGTTTTTTTTCTAAAATAACTGCTATTCCTGACGTGTCTTGACTCTTATCCCCAGCTTATAGCTAAAGAATCTTTCCCCAACCCGTTCAAATCTCTAAGATGACTTCCGGTATTTCAAAGAGAAGGTGACCTCTGTTGGCAAGGGCTATAATTCCTGGCAGCCAAGACATGGAATAGACATGGCATTGTCATTGTAAGTCACCGGTCTACTTTACTGCCAGAATACAGGAATCTCCCAAACAAAATAAAGCTAAGGACAAGGAATAAGAGACTGGATGAATGCTGCCCCTTCAAATCCTAACAATAACCATATCAGCTTGGATTTAAAAAAGGAGAATAATCAAATTTATATGACTGAGGGGAGTGGTTTGGAAAACAAGTGAAGTCTAAATAAACCGAACTAGCTTCAACTCATTCATTCATTCAATAATTATTTGAGTGCCTACTTTGTGCTAGGCCTATTCTAGGCACTAGGGATATAGCAATAAACAGGACAAATCTCCTGTCCTCATGAAGCTTACTTTCTAATCCAAGTAACAAAAATAGAAAACAAAATAACGAGAACAAAAATAAGTGAAAAAATATGCAGGGGAGTGGGGATAATGTCTGGGTCAGGCAGGGTCTTCTAGTAGAGAAAGCAATGAAGGACAGTGATCTAAGAGCAAAGCAAGGGCAGATTGTGAAGGACTTTGTAAACCTGCATTAAAGTTTTGACTTTATTCTAAGTGAAAGAAGAAATCATCAGCGAATTTTAAAAATGGGTAACAGGATTTGAGAACTTTTTAAAGATCACTCTGTCTGCTACATGGAGGATGAATGAAATTAGAAGCACGGAGATCAGTTAAGGAGGTATTACAAAAGCCTAGGCCAGAGCCAGTGGAAGCCTGAACTAGTTTGACAAATCCGGTAAGAGCTACCAGACTCAATTAAAAAGAGGATAAACAGTTCCACTTTCTTAATGAACTTGACCTGTAGTAAATAATTACATCTCAATTAAAAAAAAAAAAAAAAAGACCTCACTAAACTAAAACTATCTTATGTACTTTTATGTAGCTACATGATTCAGATAAAAGGGTAATATGACTCACGCTAATTTTACTGTAAGAGGGACATTTGTTAAGCATAATAATGCAAATCTAGTTAAATACAAATTCTGGCCATCGAATTCAACCATGAAAAGCTATAACCTGAAGAACTAAGTTTTGTGTGGTCGCACTCACTAAACTAAAACTATCTTATGTACTTTTATGTAGCTACATGATTCAGATAAAAGGGTAATATGACTCACGCTAATTTTACTGTAAGAGGGACATTTGTTAAGCATAATAATGCAAATCTAGTTAAATACAAATTCTGGCCATCGAATTCAACCATGAAAAGCTATAACCTGAAGAACTAAGTTTTGTGTGGTCGCATTGTTAAAGAATTTTAAAGTTTGTTTTGTTGAAAGAGTGGTAATTTTTTGTTTTGGCCTGAATGGTATGCAATACGTTCGATAATTAAGATAAGGTGCAGATGATATTTAAAACATTTTGGTTTTCTCTGAAAATACTTTAAAATTTATAGACAGTCTAACTTCTCTGATCTAAGCACTGAATAAATATTAAGCAATTAATTAGCAGTAAAGCCTGGATGGGTCAGAATCGAGATTCTGGATGGGCCAAAAAAACACCCCCATGTGACCCTCAGAGTACAGTACAAGTTTGGCAAACAGAATGTTAAAATCATTCACAACTGTTTCAGAGCTTCAATGAATGAAGCTGCTGCTGTGTGGTTTGGGGACAGACACTAACAGCAATAAAATGTGCTGAAGTGATAGAGAGGGAAACAGGCTTTACAATACCAGAAATGATGCTCCTTTTTCTTTTTCTCCCCATTCCCTTTAACATCTTAAAACTATAACTGAATTACTACCACTTTTTTCTAAGTGATTTTCCTGATAAATGTATGTATCAGATCAATATTAAAATAGCCTTGGTCACACTTATGTTTACCTAGCATTTAGGGTGCTACAGCCAGGCCTAACATTATAAATAAGCCTTTTTCTTGTGTCAAGTTTCACATTATGATCAAAAAACTTGCAAATACACTTTTATCAACTCTTATTTGCTTTCATTTCTACGAAACATAGCTTGTAATTTTTCTAACAAATGTTTATTTTACGTATTTATAAATGAATAATACTGTTAACATTTCAACTTAAATGTCCTAAGGCTGACAATATATTTTATATTATGTATAGCATTTCAATTAGGTGTTTTGAGACTAATTATATGTGTTTCCTATATTCAAAACTAGTAATAAAACATAAGATTTTTGTTTTAAGAAAATGAGAATTAACAATTACTATAAACTATTTTATGATACAGCTAAGGATCAATTTAAGCGATCATTCACTCATTTTCCCTACCTTGCTTTTCCAAACTCATCAGTATGAACCATGTGTTGTTAATTAACACCTTCCTGAACTTTGTCAAGGAAGTCCATGCAAAATACAGATTAAGATATAGTTATAAATAAAGACTAAAATTCACAACTGCAATTCAAAAAGCAAACTGGCTAAGTTTACTTCTAACTTCTGATTCTAAAGAAAGATTTCTCCAAATGGCAGGTGCACAGAGACTTCAATGAACATTAAAGAACACTACAGAAGACGGTAAAAATGTGCTAGTTTTCTTCCTTGGGAGTGTATCACAGTGACCTGGAGGGGGTTCTCTAGAATGGAATAGAGTTTAGAACAGATCGCTTCAAAAGAGCAATGGCAGAGTATTAACTAATGTACTTTAAAACAAACAAGCCAGTCCTCAGCAGTCCACTTTCTTATTTTAGTCAACCGAGTTAGTAAGTCCCTGATGTTCTCTCTCCAAGACAGTGAAAAGAAGGCATTTCACCTTCTTTATATCTTCAAAAGGTGAAATCTAAGAATCTCTAGGAGGTCTCATGGGTGCCTGTTATTTATAAATTTATTCCAAACCAAGTAGCTACGGAATAACACTAAAAAGAGAGGGAAAAGTAGGCTTTAGGGTAACAATAATTCTCTTAACTAAAGGACCCTCTCCAGATAATTATTCATTCATTGAGCGCTGTGTAACTTGAAGTCGAGAGTAAATTTGAGGAAATATCGAGTGTACCAGGAGTTATTCCAAGGCAAAGTTAAAAAAAAAAAAAATGCTCCATAGCTTCAAGTCAATGCTTAGAGGGAGAGAATACGGCGAGCGCAAAAATAATAAAAAATAAAAAAAGCCGAAACCTGACCTTGTCCGTAAGTCGAATAGTTCTGCACCCCACCCCGCCCCCACCTTCTCCAGGAGCGGGTTCACGCAATCTCAATTGGTCAGTCTGCCTATTCCAGCATCTGCCCGACAGTGACAAGGGAATCTTCAAGGAAGATGAGCGGGTCTGAAAGGAGCGGCCTCAGAAGCTGAGGCCCAGGAAGAAAGGACTCGAAGAAGAAAAGGAGGAGAGGACCTTCGGAGGGATGAGACCGGGCTGTCAGAAGCTAATGGGGACATGGCTTGGGAAGACAACTGCGGGACACGGGAGGAAGGTCTTATGAGGGCCCAGGTGAGGCCAGAGGTTGAGGGCCGCCTGCGGACAACCTGAAGGGAAGAGTTAAGGGGCTGGGAACACAGGGTTTGCTGATGGAAGAGAGCGGGGCGGCGAGAGGCGAGCAGGCCCGGGGAGGCAGGGGCCGCGGCAGCCACCGCCAGCACGGGTGCGCGGACTCACGTTCTCCCACCAGCAAGATCCGCACGTCTTTCTTCATGTCGGCGGCTCGCAGGGGCCGTACTCGGCCCGCACGCATGGAGCGGACTCCTCTCGCCGGGAGCGCCCACCCCTAGGCGCTGCTCTCCCCGCGCTGCCGGCCAGCCTCCCCCGCTGCCCCGCCCGAGCCTCGGCTACCCGGGCCCGCTGCGCCGCCTCCTCCGCTGCAAACCCACTCGAGAGCCGGGACAGCGGCAGCTCCGACTCCTCCGGCTTCGCGGGAGGCGGCACGGCGGCGGCCGGGTCGACGGAGCGCCGTGAGGGACAAGCGCTTTCAGAACGCGAACGTTCTCCCCGCTTGAGCAGCGCCCCCCGCGGTCAGGCTTGCTGCAGCGCACAGCGGAGGAGCCTTACCCACGCCTCCTCGGGGCGCAACCATCAGCGTTAAGGTTTGAGCTGGGAATTTGAGTGGCAGATGCGCTAGTCTGACCCCATTTATTTTACAAAATAGGGGCAAGAGAAGTTCCTTGTTCAAGGTCACATAGCCAGAGGTTGGCAGTGATTCAAGGTGAGAATATTCTCACCAGACTATACGCTCCAGGAGGGCAGTGACCTGTCTACCTAGTTTTCGTCAATATCCCCACCTTATTGTACATAGTCCTCAGATAATGCATGACTGAGTAAAGAATGACTGGGTCGCAAGATTTATCCCTTTCCACTACCCAAAGCCCACCACCCTAGCTGCTTTTTGCCTGTGATGCTTATAAAATACAATTCTAAACAACAGGATTTTTTCTTACTCTGTGTAAAAAGATTCATTTCTTTGTAGCCAGACTTTTCCCTGGTCTAAGCCATACTAAGCCAAACTAAGTGACTTTCTGTTTTACTTTAGGTAGTGTCTTCTGATAGTTCTCTTTATTCAGGCTTGCCCAGCGTGGTGCTGGGCCCATAGGTGGCACTCTTACTGATTTTTCTAACAGTGCCTAATTTCCTCCTGACCTGCTCCATCTGGAGGAATCTGCTGCTACATCTCTAAAGCTAGAATAGTGCTTGGCACACAGTGAGATTAGATAGGCAGACAGAGACGGATAGACAGATAGAAATGAGGAAACACTATCTGTGCATAATGTGCTTTTTTATGTCTTAAATGTTACATAGTAAGTTTTTAAAGGGAATAAAATGTACATAACACCAATCCCCTTTTCTTTTAGGAGAGGCCATGTGGTCTGGTGCAGCAAGTTAAGAGCTACTGACAATTGCTTGGGTTTGAATCCTGAGTCAGTCACCTAATACTTATGTGATCCTGAGTGAGTTCTTTTACTTCTCCAAGACTGTCCCTTCTTCTGTAACATAGAAGTAATGATAAGAATACCTACCTCTTCAGGTGGTTGTGAAAAATAAATAAGATAATACATGTCAAGCATTTGGTACAGTTCCAGATTCATGGTATTTCTTCTACTGATCTCAGGTATCATTATCATAAAGTTCACTGAAAAGTTGTAATCTGCAGGTATTGAGGCAAATATGCTGTTATGTTTATCAAAAATTTCACCATCTTAGTTATATGATGTCCCTAATGAGCATAGGGAGGAAGCCCTTCCAAAAAAGCACTCTCTCTGTGATATAAGGAAAGACAGGAAAGATACACTTCCTGCTCCTGCAAGATAATGAAGTCATAGTCCAGGATGGATGCAAATAAGATGTATGGAAATGTGAAATTCAGGAGGCTTGCTTATGTGATCTTTCAGAGAAAAGTATTCCTCCAAATTTGAGTATTAAAAATGTTTGAGTTGGAAAGACCCTTACAGAGTACCTATTAGAATTCCACTACTCTGTAGATAAGAAAAACAAGAGATATCATGAATTGCTAAAGGCAGTGCAACTAAGATTGAGCCCTGGCTCTGCCATGCCCAGAGTGTGACTCTGGGCAAGTCACATTACCTCTCTGTGCCTCAGTTTCCTCTCTTCAAATGAAGTCTTTAATTTCTTCCCAGCCTTCTACTTCATAGAGTCATTTAGAGGATCCCATGAAATCATGTATGTGAAAAAGCTTTTCCTTAAAAAAACAAAACAAAACTGAATTACAGGGAGCATTTGAGATCTTGCTCTCTGGCATATGTTGTCACAATTTGGCTCAAATAAATACATAAAAAAATTTTTTAATGAATTACACAAATATCATATCACAAAGAACAAAAGCCCTTTACAGAGAGGCAAACTCTTTAGGCCACTGCTCACTCCAGGCAACACTTTGTAGAGAATCTCGACCCCAAGAGCTTTGCATCATCTTGCCAATGGTGACAACGTTAATTCTGTGGTGACAATGTTAATTCTCACACACTTCTCCAGGAGTGTAAGAAAAGACAAGTCTTTGTTGTGGTGCATATGTGTACTGGGTAAAGGCTTTCGCATGGGAAAATGTCTGGAAGGCAGAGGACTAGAAAGAAAAGTTTATTTGGGGGAGAATATTGCAGAAATAATATTGGGAACTCCTTTGTAAATAAAACTAAAAAATCCAGACTCAAGGGGTGCAGGAAGGAGAAAATCAGCAAGAGTGTACAGCAGGCAGCAACTAACGGTTTGGTATAAACAGAGGCCAACACTCACTAAAGTGGAAGGGAGGCGTCCAACATGCCAGAATGCGCCTCCCAGGCAATGTAAGTTTCTTTTTACAGCCCCTCTTCATCTACTGATCAGCTATATTTCTGAAGGTCTAATCTCCCGTCTTGCCTTGAGCTTTATACCCTTCTCATAATAAGACATCCATCAGGGGTCACTATGAAGTTCTCCTGGAGATGGCATAGCTCTGTGGTTAAGAGCAAGGACTCTGGAGTCTGCCTGTCTAAGTCTGGACCTCAGCTTTGCCAATTATTTCATTGGGCAAGTTGCTTAACTTCTCTGTAGCCTCGGCTATCAAGTGGGAATGACACCTCATGGAATTATTATGAAGATTAAATGAGTTAGTATAATAGGAAAACATAATAGGAAATAGGGCCTGGTACATGGTCGGTGATACATAAATGTTGAATAAATATAATAAATTGTGCGGGAAGTGACTTTTGTACCCCTCTCTGAGCCTAAAAATAGAGCCACAGGATGACACACAGTGCAGCAAAACATAAGCCAGAGAATGGAGTTGTCGGCAGTGGAATTTACTGTTGGGCTATTACAGATTGATTACTGTATATTAAGTAGATTGGATAAAGCCAAGAGGGCAGTTTGATATCTAAAAGGCGCTGATGGAATTTTCCTCTAGAATGCTGCTAGGAAGGAGCTCTACCATCACAAGATAGACTTCATGTCTCCTCAATTGCGCAGGGGACATAGGGATGTCTAAACAAAGTACTTTTGCCAGGTTAACAAAAGGATCCATCTTTTATGCCTATCAAAGGAGGAATTTGCAACATAGCCTCTCTCTGAGTCTTAGGACAGCGGAACACCCAGGGCCAGTGGGCAGGCCTGCTGGGTAGAAGATATATGTATGTTAAATGAATGATACAGGGTGGAACAAGAGGCTGGCCTCTGATTGGTGAGTTAGACATAGTCTTGGGCACGAGGCCAAATTAGACTTGGATTGGCATCAAATCCACCCTTCAGACTCATCTATCTTTGGTCTGTCAAACGCAAAGCAGCATCCATCATCTGCCCATTCTTCACTTTTGTCTCCCGTTCCTTCCAGGAAGTCTTCCTTTTCCTGCCAAGTCCACTCTGGTATAGCAGAAAAGTCCAGTGCCTCAATACAGGGTAAGTATTTTATCTTGCCTTTTAATGCTTTGTTCTTGGTTCATTGTTCAAACATCGATGTCCTCTGCATAGTCACATGGATTAGTCTCTAGAGGACAGAGAGTCTGTTTGCTTGATTTGGCTGGAAGGTACATCACTCAGCACAACTACTTATCAAAAGGCATTTGATTATAACTAACCATGTTGAAAGGAAATTTTTCCAGACAAGATCCTCATCTGTTGAGGTTGCAGCCAGTTTTCTTTTAATTTTCTCAAGCTCTTTTCAGATACAGGTTGTAAAGCAAATGCCCTCAATTAAGAGATAATTGATATTGAGAAGCCTTTCAGACCATCCTCCCCTATAAAAGCCTTGTTTCCTTATGGAATGGTTAAGAGCATAGGCTCCGGAGTCTACATTTCATCTCCAATACTTTACTAGCTGTGCAACATTGGGCAAGTTACATAATTTCTCTGGAAAACCTTAACCTTGTCAGCAAAATGGAGCTATCTCATAGGGGCTCTTTTCAGAATTAAATAAAATAATGCAGGTACATTTGCAACAAAGTGGATGGACCTTGAGAGTATCATGCTAAGCAAAATAAGTCAGACAGAAAAAGACAAGAACCATGTGATTTTATTCATACATGGGATGTGAAACAGAAAGCAACAAAATGAACAAACAAAACAGACTCATAGACACAGATAACAGTATGATGGTTACCAGAGGAGAAAGGGGGTAGGGGAAGAATTAAGAGGGGAGAGGGGGTCAAATATATGGTGATGGAAGGAGTCTAGACTGGTGGTGAGCACACAATGCAATATACAGATGACATATTATAGAATCGTACACTTGAAACTCATGTTATTAACCAATGTCACCCCAATATATTGAATTAAAAAATAATGATGCAGGTAAAGCATTTATCATGTTGCTTAACACATAGTTCATAGTTACATTATCACCCTTAACAGCTGCACTTTAAAATTTGGAATTCATTTGCTGACTTGCATTATCTTTCCAAGGGTAAACTGATTAGACTGCTACCAAATTATAAACACTATAAGCAAAAACGGATCTAATAAAATTTTTAATCATTGTAGAGACATTAAAATTTTTGCTGACTTATATACCAACCAGTGATTCTCAAAATATTTTAGGCCACAAGCTATTTCTGCAAAACCAAAAATTCCATAGAATAGTAAGTCTATAATTTCTGTTTATCGTTGCAAAGAAATCACCACAATTAAATATATTCTAAGAAAATAATTCAAAAGAACTATACATATACCTATATATTCTATTTATAGCAATATTACACAATAGTTAAAAAATAGAAAAACATACAATTAAAAGGGAATATCTAAATTAAGTATGACATAAAATAATTGGACCTTTGGAGTCAATGAGACTAATGACTATTAAAGATATAGAAAAGTATTTACAAAATAGGTAAAAAAATGGAAATATAAAACCATATATATAATCACAACTATATAAAAACTAAGTATATGTTCACTTATGCAACTTATAATTTTGAACTTTTACAAGCATGCTCATGTGTTAATTGGGTAATTAAAAACTAATTGACATACATAAATATTAGATGAGAGTACAAAGAATAGAAAAATACATTAAAGATTATGAATTAATTTTTAGTACAAGCATCTTTTGTAAAATGTCAAAGTGAATTTAATAATTATATCTTTTAAGTAAATTAATAGAAATATTTAAAAGAATAGCAATACTTTAAGTGAGACATTAAGGTAGGATATCATGTGTATTAAGTCATTTAACATATTTATTGTTTTCAGCATATTGAGGCTTTGTGCCAGGTGCTAGGGACACAGTAATAAACATCACAGAGTTATCATGGCAGGCAAGTTGTGGACAAGGCAATTCATCTTTAGACATCCATCCTTCCTCTCATCAGAATCCTCCAAATCATTATCTACATACCCAAACCTCCCTTTTCAAAAACCTTGCATAAAAGTTAGCATCTCATAATCTAAATCTCTTTCTACCTCCTCCCTCCTCGCCCCAGCTCTAGCTGAAACCAGCCAGACTTACGTGCCTGTGTCCCATTCCTTCTAGTAATCTGCTCTCTGCATGGCTGTGTTCACAGATGATCCCCCATGCAACACAATGCCATAACCCAGCAAAAATGCAGATATCCCCAGAAAGCACCTAGGAAAATGACCACGGTTTTAGCCTGAGTGACCTAACTATTCATTCCTAGTATTAGTGGATCAGCTTTGATCTGATCTAAACTCATCGTGCACCATTTTCAATGGTGACTTCTCTCTGGACAAGGGGAGGATACTCTAGGCAAAGCAAAGTGGATGTGCAAAAGTATATATGACGCAAAGCAGGGGGGCTGGGGTGAAAGGTGTATGAGGGAGGATGACAGGAAACAGGGGCTAGAGGTAGGGAAGAGTAGAGCAAGGAAGTGGAACGTTCTGCTGTAGGCACTGGGGATTTTTAAGCAAAGGAGCAACATGATCTTATTTGTGTTTCGGAAAGCTCATAGCAGCCGAATGAGACTAGATGGGAAGGGGTTCTGACTAGAGTTGGAGGGGCTCAAATTAAAATAATCCAGGAGAGTAGTGATGAGAGTCTGAACCAGTGTTTAGATGCAGAGGGAAGAGGAGGGATTGGAATTGAGATGATTTGAGATGGCAGAATCCAGTCAGAACTTGGTGACTAATTGCACAGGAAGTGGGTAGGAGGAGAGATCCTATGGTAGCTCTCAGACACTGTGTCCTGGAGATTGTCAGTGATCAAAACCATAAGGTTTTCTCCCCCAGGGCATATATATTTTGAAAAATAAAGGTGACCATTTCACTGAGCAGGGAAAGAAGACACAGTCTTCCAAATTTCACCAGACCAATTTTTGGAGTCCTGTTTCCTGACATGGTAGAATAAGAGAAATATAAATGATGCGGGGACATCAGAGTGACTCTTGTGGCCAGAAAGATATTCCCTTTTCTATTATCTTTCCATCTTGATTAAGTCAAGGTGAAAGCCTCAGTAAATCATTGTTAACACTTGATAATCTATTGAGAGGGAGGGAGAGAGTAAGCCTCAGGTTCAGAGCCTTACACAGACAATAGTATCAAGGTAGTAACATTGTTTTGTTTTCCTTGACACATATATTTAGGGTTACCCTGCTTTTTAAGATATATGATTCTGGTTTCCATTTACATATATTTTTAATTTTCCTTTTGAAATAAATATACCTGAAGGGAGAAAAGTGAATCGGTTTAGGAGAAAAAAAATAAGTAAAAAAAGGTACAGGAGACATACAGATGTAACCAATCGTGGCACATAAAAGGCTGAAGCTTGGGAAACCCTGTCCTAAAAATACTATGCCTGATTAGGAAGGTAAAGCCCAAATTAAAAATAAATCTTTAGCATAAACTAAGTATAATTAAAGAAGTCTGCAATCCTCTGGAAGGACAATCATGCTGTGATTAGGGTTTTCAGCAATTATGCAAGTGGATGAATTTGGGGTTTGGGGCTGAGGGAGTGCAGGATGATAGAGTTGAGCATATACCAAGAAAAATTCTCCTTTTCCTCTCAAAAGCCCCAGATACCTAACCCTGGGGAAGGGACTTCTTCTATCACAGCTAGAGGGCCTGAGAGGTCTCCCCAGAGAGCAACATCGTTTCATTTCACGGTTTCTTTCTGCAATCATCTAGGAAATAAAGTCTTCAAATTAAAATTTTCCAGAAAAAAAAAATGTATTTGAGGAAAAGCAAGGGGCAGATATAACTGTATTGGAGGTTGCTGTGAGTGTACGAAGGTGGTGGCTTCCTGCTCAGCAGGTAGTTCTTCCAGGAACCCAAAGCCCTGCATCCCAATAACGGGCACAACAGGGTGTTAAAAAAAGAATATCCAGCCTAAGAAAAAGAATTTTGGGAGTTTTTTTAAGCCAAACTTACGACAATTGCCAGGAAGCAAAATCTTAACAGACTGAGAAAATGCTCCAGAAAATGGTAGTTTTACAGCCTATTTATGTTAGAATCAAAGGAGAAGACTTGTAAGTGGTTGAGGGTTTATATGAAATTCATCGGTGGTAGATTAGGGAGGTAAGAGAAAGAAACGTGCGGAAATCTCTGAGATTGGATAGAAAATAAAATGGAGAGACACACACTTTTACATTGGTGGGTACAGGCTAGTTAACATTTACACACATAGAGATGGTGTATGGGCAACAAGATAACAACAGAGGTTCTGTGGGCTCGTGCTCCGGTGGGAGGCTGTACCCTGAGGGGTCCAGAAAAAGGGGATCACTCTGATATTCCAAGGGTGTATTATCTTAGGTGCAAAAAGACATGGACAGGCTCAGTTAAGGTAAATATTGACCTTTGTTAAGGGAGCTACAAGCTCAGGATGTGACTACCTGTCACAGTTCACTTTTAGTCAGGAATTTTTATGTTCGGACCATCCTATGTGGTTACTTTTGGTCCCTGAATTTGTAAGGCCCACCATGCAGGCCTCCCCTGAGCTTGTCAGGTTTAGTATGTGGCCCCTTTTTCATCCACAGTCCTCTCCCTGGCAATTGTCATCAGCTTGGCTCAAATAAACTCTTATAAGACTTTTTCTTAGGCTGGACATTCTTTGACAAGTACCTTCCAGTAGCTTCCTCCCCAGCAGGTGAGTGTGAGTATGTGTCTGAGGTGGAGAAGAGGAAAAATACACAGAGGTAGCCCTCATCACTGACGTCACCCTACCTCTTTCTCCCTGGACTCCCAGGAAAAAAAAAAAAGCACTTAAAAGAGACAAGGCCTGAAAGAAAACACAAGTGTTTGAGAGAAACATCTCCAGATAGGGTGAGAAGCTGCCCACGGGGGAGTTCCTGGTGCTCTCCCCAAGGAAAGAGCCTTCGTCCCCTGAGAAGTCTTTCAGGCTTGATGTGTGGGGGGACAGTTTCCTCTCAGAAACAATGCAGACCCGAGTGGGAGGTCCTCCATCTCCATTTGAAAAGAGGCATTTCAACTTCGGTTCTCCTTTGGAGGATTGTATGTTTGTGCCAGGGAAGGGTGCCATTTTCCGCAGTGTACTGAAAGGGTTGTACTGACAGAAAGCTCAAGATAAAAGCAAGGAAACCAAAAGTGATAACCTTTATTCTCTACCTTTATGATTCTTGTGCTTAGGCTCCAGTTGGGGGAAAGCATGTGACCAGCTGATAAACCCCATGCTCACAGAGCCCCCTTTATCCAAACCACTTGAGAGGATGGTATTTCATCAAACCCTCAAGAAGCTAAATCCCTGGTCTTTAAATTTTCAGTACTTTTAAAAGGCGAGCATCAAGGTGACTCTGGTTGAGAAGATAAAAGCTCCCTAATGCAGAAAGTGAGAACATAGAGCCTTTTAATGCTCATCTGGCACAGAGAGAAGCCCTGTCCTTGCTTGGACAACCCAAGGCCAGTATACTGAGGACCACCACCAACCACAACCAGAAAAAAAAGAACACCTCATGGCTCTAGGGCTAGCTGTGTCCTATCAAATTGGAACGCCAGGTCCTGGTCACAGCATGGAACCTTATCAGAGAGTATTAAGGTTAGAGACTTGAGTGTGGGGAAATTGGGCCTGGTCCCTGCTCTGCCACACTCAGCTGATTGACCCTGCCCTGGCCTCTGCTTCCTTGTGTGTTAACAGAAGGATAGTAAAATTCATCACACGGGGTGGTCATGAGGCTCAGAGAGCAAAATTAGAAGATCTTGCAGAAATATTCTGCTTGCCCATTTTCAAGCATACATACCAAACTCAGGTGTGAATCTCAAAATGTTAAGAGACCAAAGTGTGTGAGAGTAAAATATAGTTGTCATTGTTTCTATGGTTATAATCACCCTGGCATTTTCCCAATTTTCTCAGAAACCCTTACTTAATTCTTTCAGCAACCTTTGAAGGAAGGTAAGGAAGGGAAAATAATTATTATTTCCATTTTACAGGGGAAAGAGAGACAAAGAAGTTAAATGCATTGTCAAAGGTTGCCTGGCTGGTTTGTGTGGCAAGGCTCAACCCAGTCTAACAGAGTTGAATTTCCACATCTTTAAAATAGGTGCTAATGCAGCCTGGGGTCCTACAGATGTGAACTGTAAGGAACAGAAAAGGAGGGGGAAGCATGTAGATTAGGAGACTTAGAAGAAGATTTATCAACTGCTAATGGGTATGAGGGTTCTTTCTGGGGATGATGAAAATGTTCTAAAATTAGATTATGGTGATGGTTTCACAACTCCATGAATATGCTAAATAACACTAATTTGTACACTTTAAATAGGTGAATTTTATAGTATGGAAATTACATCTCAACAAAGCTGTTAAGCAAAAGATATCAGGGTCTTTGTTTTTGTTTTTGTTTTTTTTAATGGGCAAGATAAACTTGTGGCGAGGGATGCATAACTCTAAAGAGAAGAAGTAAAAAAAAGAAGTAATCACTGTAAAAGTTCGGATTCCTTTCAGGTGGAAGGAGGTTTTGGGGATTGGGATGGGGCCCACAAAGGAGCTTCTGGGTAGGTAGCAAGCTCTTATTTCTTGACTTGAAGGGTAGTTAACAAGAGTGTTTACCTTACAGGAATTCATTCCACTCCACACGTGTTTTATGTGGTTCTCTACATCTGTTTTATGACAAAATGATTTTTAAAAATAGAGGAAATCAAGTATGAAATGACATCCTGTGCTGGCCAGACTGTAAGACTCATGATCAACCCCCTCCCCCCCAACCCCATCTGTTTTGTTTTGGGGACAAATTATGCTGAGACTGAGTTTGTCTTTGACAATTGTTTAACACAGCTTCACTGAGGGAATTATAATAATTTCACCAGCCAATAGCATACGGGATAAAGTCTCTTAATAAGCCAATAAAGAAGTAACGTTCTCTAAACCAATGAGATTAATTACACTATTGTTTCAGGAAAGGGGAGATGAAAAGAATGAAGTCCCAATTTAGTTGAGATGTACCTTTATACCAGTTGGTACTTGGGAGAGAAGACTTAGCCAACTGGGAGCTGACATTAGCTGCCAGTGCAAAAGTAAAAGTCCCTGTTGCTAGAGCACATTGCTATGGAATGATGGCATCACTATTAGGCAAGATGATCTCTTTCCACTGCTGGTAAGAGTCACCTTTACCATGGCAGGAGTTAATGTTCCAAGGGTGTCCGGAAAGCTCTTCAGGTCAGCAAAGTATTGCCTTGCCCAGACCGAAACTCTCAGATATTCCTTGCAAACTCTCAGTATTTATAGTCTAAGTGTCCTCTTGCCATAGTTGCTTCTTCACATATTCTTATTGATAAGCCCCCAGAGGGGCCATAACAGCTGAGCTTGAGTGCTTATCAACATCCTACAGATACGATAATGACATCCCGACTTACTTTATTTTTATATCAAAACAATTTTACTTCTAAAAATATTTTTTTGTCTTTGCCATAAACAGTATTAAAACAACTTCACTTAAGTCATAAACAATTGAAATATATCAAACCAATACACAACAAGAACTGAGGCCCTCAGTCTGACAACTCACGAGAAACTGAATGCTGCCAACAACCATGTGAGCTTGGAAGCAGATCCTTCCCCAGTCAAGCCTCTGATGACACCGTGGCCCCAGCTGAAACCGTGACTACAGCTTGTGAGACTCTGAAGCAGAGGCCTCAGCTAAGCTGTGCCCTGACTCCTGACTTACAGAAACTGAAATAATAAACGTGTGTTGTTTGAAACCACTAAGTTTATGGTAATATTATTACACAGAGACTGATAATATGCCCCTTGTGTTGGCGGGTTCCTAAAACCACTCTCAGATTCTGAGAGTCACTAGAAGGACTCACAGAACTCAGCAAAGCTGTTATACTCTTGGTTACAGTTTATTACAGTGAAAAGATACAGATTAAAATAAGCAGTAGGCAAAGGCACATAGGACAGGACCCAAGAGACACTAATTATTCTCTCCCAGTGAAGTTCTATGGACAATGCTTATTTCTCCCAGCAACAATATGTGACAACGTGCAAGGAGTATTGCCAACCAGAAAAACTCACCCAAGTGTTGGAGTCCAGGGCTTTTATTGGGGGTCAGTCATGTAGGCAGGCCCTACTGCTCATGTGGCTAACGTAAGTCTCCAGCTCCTCCAGAGGTCAAGCTGATAACCTCCTGGCCTAAGGTTACCAGGTAAACAAAGTCACTCTTAGCAGGCAGGATATTCCAGGGATTAGAGATTATCTTCCAGGAGCCAGTCAAGGGCCCGTCCTTTCTTTGGAATGTGCAGAGTTTGAACATCCCAAGTCTGCAGAGTTAACCCTTTACGTGTACCCCTTAACTTCGGGAGTGAGACTCTTGTCAGGTTGCTACCCTGCTTGAAGGCAGAGAAAAAGGTCAGGAAACCACCATGTTTTAACTCCAGAGAACCTTTATACCTTTACAGGCCTTATAGACAGAGAGTTTCCAGGATGTAAGCCATATAGCCAGAAGGCAGCGTGCAGGGGAGAGGAACCAGAGACTGGGCACTCGAACAGAAGCTTTTCCTGATTAGCCACTGAATAGAAGGCAAGCTTCTCCTGCTCAAGGTCCAGCCAGATGCCCACTACCCTAGGTTTTTCTGAGCCAAGGACAGTTTCCTTGACCATGTGCCATGCAGAGAGCTGGCTAGTCCCCTTCCACTCTACACACCAGGAGTCCCTGGTCCTTCCCAGGATCTGGTCACGGCTCATCCCCCAGGAAGCCACGCCAACTGCCCAGTGACTGCAATTCTGAGTGTCCACTTCCCAGTACTTCTGCCCAGAAGAGAAGGCCTGGGAACATAAGACCTGGCAGGTTGCAAACCTCTCATGACTCCAGGGATAGAACCGTGAGAAGTGAGACACGGTCACTGTCTGGCAATCCTCAGACACCTCCAGGCTACAGGAGAGGCTCCTCAGGTCAAAGGTTAGACTGACGGCCCCTAAAGAAAAAAACAAGAACGTGAGCAGCCAGCTCTAATTGTCCAAGCTAAGAGGTCCTCAAATAGCAAAAAGCAGCTTTGTATCTTTGAGTGTGACAAAGTTTTACTCATACTGGCATTAGGGTTGGTACATAAACTTGCTGTTCTCTGTACATACCCCTGACATTGCCGATTACCCCTTTCCCACCTTAATCTCTACTTAATGTTAACCCTCTTTCAGGAAGCCCTCTCTGAATCCCACCCAAGCAAAAAGTCACCTCTTGCTTTCCTCAACACTCCTCATGCTTTACCTATTCTCTAATAATACCATCTTCTACCTGTAGTACAGTGACTTATGACCATAGCTGTTTATATCTCTCTAGTTATACATAAGCTTCCTGAATAAGGATCAGGTCTTATTCATTTTGTGTATGTCATACTGTTTCCTACTGAGTAAATAATTGCTAACACTTACATACCATTACTACTTTAGGCACACATTTATACACATTCACTCATTTAACACTAATGACAAGCCTCCATGGGAAGTAAGTGCTCTTATTATCTCCATCTTACAGATGAGGGAACAGAGGCTCTGGGAGGTTACGTAACTGTCCAAGATCACACAGCTAGTGATAGCAGAGCTGGGAGTCAAACCCAAGCAGTCTGGCTCCAGCATCTATGCTCTCAAGGTCTACTCCGGACTGGGACAGCAATAGAACCTAAATGGGTTGGGGAATGGACCACTGGCTACATGTGGTGGCCCCAGCATGGATGCCCACAAGATGCCTGGGCTCCAAATGCTCACAGGTCTAGCTTAGCCTGGAATTTGCGTCTTCAATCCCCTTTGTCTTTGTAATCAGCTCCCCATGTGGAGGGACCTAGTCTGTGGGTAGTAAGACAGGCAGCAGGGAGATGGACGTAGCATGCTCTTGCAGCTCCCCTCTGCAGCAGACCAAACCCAAGTATGAAGCAGACCACATACTTACATTGAGCAAACCGGGAGACCTGCTTGGATGCAGGCTGGCTCTGGTCAACCAGTGGGCATGACGAGGAAGATGGAGCTTTTGAGAGTTTAACTAAAGAATCAAAAAAATTGGGAGAGGGGAAAAAGTCTCATCAGAAAAAGGCAAACAGAAGGTACCTAAACACTGTGATTGGGGCACATGGTTTGTCTTCCTCATCAGCAGCACATTTTTTAGTGTCAGGACTTGACTAGGCAGTGCTTCCAGCTCAGGTATGTACAGCCCCATGTACTCACTATGGACTTTTTTACTGTCTGTTTCCCCATTAAGCTATGAAGTCCTTGCTGGTTCCTTGTGCATCTATATGCTCTAAGAACCAAGCCCAGTGCCAGATGCATAGGAAATGTTTGATGTATATTTATCAAATAAGTTAACTTATACAGTTCCAGGGGATCACAGTTCCCTGACACCCAGAAAATTCATGAATCCCATGTCAATGCTTTAAACTGTTATTAAAACTTTTAACTGTTGTAAAAACTGAGGAACATGAGTTAGTGTGAGATTCATCTCAATTACTGACACCTCCTATTTCCCTCTTAATGTACTAAAGTTTAATTGTTAACTTAATACTACTGTATGCTTGCAATGACTACAGTAGAAGAAGAGAAAGTAAAGTCAGAGCGTGGACAATGAAGGTGAAATCTTCCCCCATTTATATCTTGAAGTGACAACAGTCTAAAGAGAACCTGAGAGTCAAACCAAGAAGAGATGAAAGACCTTGTCTAGGGTGTGGACTGTGACATCACACAGAGTAGGAGAGCTGCCCTTCAAGAAGCCAGGATCAAAATTCAGGTAGGTACCATTATGCTTGTATTAAGCTGATAAGATTTTTACTTATTATTATTATTTTCTTAATTAAAAAAATTTCAATTACAGTTGATACACACTATCATATTAGTTTCTGGTGTACATTATAGTGATTAGACATTTATATAACTTACAAAGTGATCACCTCAATAAGTCTAGTACCTATCTGACACCATACATAATTATTACGATATTATTGACTGTATTCCCTATGCTGTACTTTGCATCCCTGTGACTGTTTTTATAACTGAAAACGGTATACTTCTTAATCCCTTCACTTTTTTCACCCTTCTCCTCCAACCTCCTTACAACTGGCAACCATCAATTTGTTCTCTGCATCTATGAGTTTGTTTCTGTTTTGTTTGTTCATTTATTTTTTTAGATTCCACATATAAGTGAAATCATATGGTATTTGTCTTTGTCTTATATCAGTTAGCATAATGCCTTCTAAGTCCATTCATGTTGTTGCAAATGGCAAAATTTCATTCTTTTTTTATAGCTAATATTCCATTGTGTATATGTACCACATCTTTATCCAATCATATATTGGTAGACATTTAGGTTGCTTCCATATCTTGGCTATTGTAAATAATGCTGCAGTGAACATACAGGTGCATACATCTTTTCGAATAAGTGTTTTGGATTTCTTTGGATAAATACCCAGAAGCAGAATTGCTGGGTCATAAGGCAGTTCTATTTTTAATTTTTTGAGGAACCTCCATACTGTTTTCCATAGTGGCTATACCTATTTACAATCCCACCAACAGTGCATGAGGGTTCCCATTTTGCCAAATATTGTTGATTTATTGATGATAGACATTCTGACAGGTGTGAGGTGATATCTCATTATGGTTTTAATTTGCCTTTCTTTCCCTGATGATTAGTGATGTTGAGCATCTTTTCATATGTCTATTGGCCATCTGTATGTCCTCATTGGAGAAATGTCTATTCAGGTCCTCTGCCCATGTTTTAATCAGGTTGTTTGTTTTTCTGGTGTTCAGTTGTATGAGTTCCTTATATATTTTGGATATTAATCCCTTATTGGATATATCATTGACAAATGTCTTCTCTCATTCAGTATGTTGTCTTTTCATTTTGTTTTTGGTCTCCCTCGCTGTGAAAAACTTTTTCATTTGATGTAGTCCCATTTGTTTATTTTTTTCTTTTGTTTCCCTTGCCTGAGGAGACATATCAGGATTTTTACTTATTTTTAATCATAGTGTTAAAAAATGTTTTTTAGTTAACACCGTTTTTTTCTCCTATTGGTGGGGAAAATGATCTATACTTGACTGGTTCTTAAAGGTATTTAGAAAAAAATGACACATGATATAGATTCATAAATGCTGAGTAACTATTAAATAAAACACTGGTAATTATCAAAGAGATGAAGTTTCATGATATGTTAATCTCTCTGGGTCAAAAATCTATTGTTTGCCCACTGGTTGTGATAGGTTTTATAAAAGAAAAAAAATGTTTGCTTCATTCAGCAATTGATTTTACAGAAATATTTGTTATATAAATTTAATTAGTGAAAAAGTTCTTTATAATAGAATCTAAAGAATCTTTTGTTTTTCTACTAAAAGAAGAGAATAAGCCACAGGTTTTTTTTTCTTTTTAAAAAAGTAGCCAGGGTCCTTTGGGAATATAAAATATTATCAGGAACACATCTCTTATAGCACTATTCTGTTTAAGTAGAATTGTCCTGCACAGAATGTAGTTTCCACAGCAGCTCATGGTGTATTACATAGGGTCAAAGGAAGTCATAGTGATGAAGCAGTCAAAATGCTTGGCAGCTGTTAAAGCGCTGACTTGAAGAACAACTGACCCCTTGTCTTAAAAACAATCATGTGAAAACTTTAGGGAATGATGTTTCAGGAAACAGTGATATTTGCAGATTCTTTGTTGTAAAAATGTTCTGGACTGGTCTAAACAATCAAAAACAACATAACCACAGAGAAAGAACTACATTCTACCTGCTAATGCATACTTAAATTTTATAAGCTAAATTTTAAAAAATACTGAACATGTATACTTAATTCCTAAAAAAAATAAAAACAGAATTAGAGTATGATGTAGCAATTCCATTTTTGGGCATACATTCAAAAAAACTGAAAGTAGGATCTTGAAGAGATATTTGTACACCCATGTTCATTGCAGCATTATTCACAATAGCCAAGAGGTGGAAGGAACCCAAGTGTCCATCAATGGTTGAATGGATAAACAAAATGTGGTATTACATACAAAAGAATATATTATTCAGCTTTAAAAAGGAAGGAAATCCTGACATGCTATGACATGGATGACTCTTAAGAACATTTTGCTAAGAGAAACAAGCCAGTCACAAAAAGACAGTAACTGTATAATTCCACTTATATACAGTATCTAGATCAAACTCATAGAAACTGAAAGTGGAATGGTGGTTGCTAAGGCCTGGGGGATAAGGGGGAGGAGGAGTTACTGTTTAAAAGATATAGAGATTCAGTTTTGCAAAATGAAAAAGTGCTGGAGCTTGGTTGCACAACATCGTGAATGTACTTAACACTACAGAAAAATGGTTTAGATGGTGAACTTTATGTTATGTGTAGTTTACCACAATTAAAATAAAAAACTTTGGGGAATGGAGAGGAAGATGGCGGGCTAGGTAAAAGCAGGGTTCACCTTTTCCCAGGTCTGCATTGAAATTACAACCAAATTATAAAATAACCGATGTGGAAAACCACCTGAAGTCCAGCTGATCATAGTCAGATAATATAAACAAGGAGCCACATCGAAGCTGGTAGGAGAGGCAAAGTCACTAATCAGGTTGGACCTGCACCTGCAGGTAGTGGAGGATCACTGGGTGGTAGAGCAAGGCTGCAGAGGCGTCCCTGAAGGAGGAGGGGCTCCTGGCCTTATTCAAGGGCTCCCCAGCCCAAGGAAGAGGAGTTTCCAAAAACTCTGACTATGAGGAGATTTTGGCATCTGGCTGAGACGGAAGGAGAATGAAACCCTAGATGCCCCTTTGAAAGGCCCAAGCACAGGCTCTCTCATCTGTGGACACTCTCCCGGGGCACTGGTGGTGGCTCAGAGGCTCATGCAAGATTCATATGGGGAAAGATTGCATTTCCTGACACTAGAACAAGGGCATGACAGGCAGTCACCACTGTGGCAGCGACCATTGTGCTTTAGTCGGGCCCCCCCCCCCCCGACTGGGCAATCTACAGATGGCAACAGTTTGCCAGTGCAGGCCCCTCCCACAGGGCCATTTGGAAGTGCAGGTCTGAAGAGATCAGCCCTCCCTATCCAAACTGCAGATTGCCTGGGGCTTTTGTTGCTGGGTGGCTGCCACACCCTGCACAGATTCAGGGCTAAATATTGGCAGTTGGTAGCCAGGGCTATGAGCGCGTATTTCGGAGACAGTTTCAGGCAGATCACTGCTGCCAACACGAACTTGGGTGGATCTCAAGGATCTGTGGGCCAGTCCTGACAGCAGCTGGTCTTGCTGTGATCTGTGACTTTTGTGGAAACGTGAACAGTTACTGAAGTTGCAGCAAGACTGAGGCTGTATTGCTCTGAGGGTCATTGTCTCCCTGAGACCCAGCCCTGCCCAACCCACAAATTGCCCCAGGCATCTCATTGACAGTCAACCACCAAGGCCCTGCCCCTGCCAATCTCCTGCCACCCTCACAATCTACACAGGCAACAAACTTTGGCTAGCACAGGGTGGGCACTGCAGGGGGAAATCAGTTACAGGCAGACCTCTGTTGCCTGCAAGAGTTGCAGTATCACATGGGGGGATCGCAGGGGTCTGTGGGACTGCACCAGATGGCAGCTGGTCTCACTGTGACTACAGTGGGAACTCCCAGGCACAGAAGTTTCAGCAAAACTGAGGCTGTATTAGCCTGACTGCCCTTGTCTCACTGAGATCCTGCTTTACCTAAGCCACAGAGTGCCTGCAGCCCATTGACAGGCAGCCTCCCTTGCTCTGCTTTTCTCTGAGATTGTGCATTCTGTGCAGGCAACAGACTTTGGCTAGTGCAGTGAGCACATTTCAGGAAAAACAGTGGTGGGCAGACCACTGCTGCCCGTAAGAGTTGCAATATCTCTTCAAGGGATCGCAGGGGTCTGTTGGACCGCCCCAGACAGCAGCCTGTCTCCCTGTGATCTGTGACTACTGTGGGAATGTGCAGACACAGAAATTACAGAAAACTGAGGCTATTGGTCCGACGGCCTGTGACCCCCCTGAGCTCCTGCCCTATCCAATACACAAAGTGCCCACCACATGTTGATAGGCAGCTGCCCCTGCCCTGGGGTGGCACATTCTGCACAGTCAACAAAACTCAGCCAGCGAAGTGAGCAAAATTCAGGGAACACAGTGATGGGAAGATCACTGCTGCCAGCGTGAGAAACAATATCACTTGGGCAGATCTCAGGGGTTTTGTGGGCCCACCACAGATGACAGTAGGTCATGCAGTGATATCTGATTTCGGTGGGAGCCCACAGTTCCAGAGCTGGCAGCAAATCTGGTGCTGTGTAGGCCTAATGGCCCTGTACCTCAATGAGACGACGCCCCACCTAACCTACAAATTACCTGTGGTAAGTCTGCTCCCAAGCAACCCAGTCCCATCCTGTGCTTTCCTTGGGTCGCAAACTCAACAGCAAACAACAGTACTCAGTTCATGCGGCCCATGCAAAGCCCATAAATCCAGGAGAAGCATTCAGTGGCGGGCCACAAACACACGCCCACGAGCTTCGGTAATTCTTAAACAGAGCTTGAGTGTTCGCAGGCCCAAGGTGGGCAGCAGCTGACCTTACTACAATTGGAAATTTGTACAGGGAGCCACCAAGACAGCGCTGGCATGTCAAATGACACTGCAGTGGCAGGGGGAAATTTACTCAATAGACCAGGAGACTCCCTGGGTTCCTGCACCACCTAACACACATATCACCCAGAGGCTCTTCCAGTTTCAGAGACTTACAAGCAACTGACAGGCAATGTCAGGCTTTGAGGAGCACTGCTCCCTCTGCT